CGGGCGCACTATTCAAAATTGCCAAACCACTTAATTTCACATGTAATATTTACAATACATAAATAAATGACTCACCAGTGTTGTTTTAAAAAACGACCATGCGTCTGGTGTTGTGGTTCAGTGCAAACTTTGCGCTGTATGCTGGCAATGGGCATAGATGCATATCTGACAATGGTGGTATGACATTATGTGACTAATGATACGTTGAAGTGTTTCTCGGAAAAATCCAATATTTGTGTATTACGGATTGAGGAGTTGTTCCGACTAGAATTTTCATTAAAGGGCCCATGTCATGGCCATTTCCACTGATCATAATTACATTGTTGAGGTATACTAAAATAGATTTATACTGTGCAATTTTCCAAACTCACATTGGTTTCGCATACAGCATCTCTGTAAAGTATGTGTATTCAGCAGTATTCACTCTCTCCACTAAACGACTCGTTGGAGCTCTTGCCCCCCCCTCCCTGTGAGCCTAGTGTGCTCCGATTGGTCAGCTCGGCCACTCTGTTCTGATTAGTCAACCACCAGAGAGGCTCCGCCCATGTCTAACAGTACTTTTTTCGTCTCGCTCTCGGAACATCAGTCTTATAATGGCGTCGGTACAGCCGTATATTTTATACGCTAACTAACCGAACTGTACCTACAACTGTTGTTATAGAAGAGTGTGACGGCCCCAGGGCCTTTGTGCAGGTGTGTTGCAGGTCTTACGATGGGGTGGAGCTGAAGAGGCTAATCAGCGCGATCACGGACACCTGGCCGGAGCCGAGGTGCTATTAAGCCTAGCTGCCCGGAGTCACACGGCGGCCCCTGTCTCTCTCCAAAGCGGCTGCAGAAGGACGAACTCGGCGATCCTCTCCCCTCGACCACCTATCTCTGCATTTACCACAATAAATGTGCCATGGTTTTGTAAACTCGTGTATGTCTCCTTGTCTTTCCGTTGTGGCCTACGAGCCGGTCATAACAAAGAGTAAGTTATTTTTACCTGTAATAAACTACTACTGTTTGATGAGAAATCAAATCATGGTTTGCTATATATGAATGATATGTTATAGGAGCAAATAATTCAGGGAAGAAAGGATAGGCCTACTAGAGAAGAAGAAGAATAGGGAGGGATGAAACCCTCTTTAATGGTCACACATGCAGAGCACACAGCACACACAGTGAAATTTGGCCTCTGCTTTTAACCCATCCTAGTACAAGGAGTCTAGTACTAGGAGCAGTGGGCAGCTATTGTACAGCGCCCGGGGAGCAATGGGAGTGGGGGGGGAAAGGGGGTGTCCGGTGCCTTGCTCAAGGGCACCACGGCAGGGCAGGAGGTGAACTGGGACCTCTCCAAGTAGAAGTCCACACTCCATATTTAGGTCTGGTCGGGGACTTGAACCAGCGACCCTACGGCTCACAGTCCAAGCCCCTACTGACTGAGCCACTGCCGGACCTAAGTAATACTAAGTATTTCCATTAAACTTTATTTTTAGAAATGTACAAAATGAACATAAATAAACGGTATATCATCAATTCCTCCCCGTTGTCGGCATCTTGCCTATCGCAGCCGGGGCTTTTTAGGACGATGCATCAGTGTGGTAGTCCCGTCATGTATTGTCCGGCAGGATCTGGCTGGACGAAATCAAATGCAAATCACAAAATATTAGAGAAATGTAGTTGTTTTAGATTTGTTAGTAGTAGTTGTGGTAGGAGTGTGGATCTATCTAATCCATCTATCTAATGAACACAGTAAGCTTGCCAGCTAATATGCTAACCTAGCTTTCTAGTTTACTTTGGTAACTAACACGATATGAACGCTAGCTCGGAGGAACGGCAACTATAATGTAGTGTAATAAAACTACTATGAACAAAAGCTAGTGGTTCATATTAGGCTAGCAATAACGTGTTTATAATTGCAATCTTATACGGGTAGTCTGCTACGTTCGGTCATTCATTGTAACTGGCATGAATACATTGTTTTGCGCTAGCATGTATAGCTAGCCTCGTTAGCTATACATGCAGTATGTACATGTACTGTCACAATGTACGGTAAATCACCCGGAGTATACTGTATGAGTATTCCGTGTGTGAATGCAGAAATTCTCCTGCTATGAGATACATGTACTGTATGCAAGGCCATCTGCTGATATTAGAGTTGATATATGGAAACGCTAGCAACTTAGTTAGCACAGTTAGCACTGTGTCAATGGCTTAGCAGTCCGACAGTTTACACATTTAAACAGTCTTGTTTGATAAATACACAAATAACAATTCAAACTTACAGGTTGTGTACCCGAATCTTCCCCTGCTCCAAACGGTCCAAACAAACTAGGAATAGCATCGTCCTTCAGTTTCAAATGCTGTGCATATCCGGCCTCAAACTGGGCAATGTTTTGGAAGCTTTCGTCTGTGAAATGCCGCGCACACAGTAACGTTCTTCGAACCTCTGAAGGAACAGTGTTAAAAAGACATTTCAACCACTGACTTCGTCGTGGTTCTTCCGTCGGTAGGACAAACAGCTCAGATTTCTCCTCACATTTCAGGAAACAGGTCCTTGGCATTGGCATGACTGGATCGATTGTGAACTGAACCAGAGCTTCCAACAGTAAATGTTAGGCTGGTAGAGGGTGCGGCCAGCGCTGCTGGGTGTGGCCATAGCTCTTCGGGATTGGTCCATTGCGTTCCGGGTACCGCATGACATCATGCGGTACCCGGAACTAAATGGAAGACTCAAATGGGCAGTGACGTATCTCCAACGAGGCGTTTTGGGGCGGTATTTTCTGTGTTAGAGTTGTACTCGCTACAGGGTGTACTTTGAGGGTTTTGACTCTGCACACCATTTACATGCATAAAAACCTTCATAACACACAAGGGGACGGGTAATAACCGGAAAAGCATGACATGGGAGCTTTAAGTTTTGAGAGGTAGGCCAATGTGGAAACAAAATAGATGGTACTTTTTTTTCCCTTTTTTTATTTGATTTGTTCAGAGAGTTTAAAAAACACATTGATAGCTGTTGCATTAGCCTACAGTATGTAACTTTTTTACCGCTGTATATTCCAAATGACACCTGACGTGGCTGAACCGGGGCTACCCATATTTGTGACGGGGCTTTAGCCCCAGTTAGCCCCGGTGTAGCACCGTCCTTGTCTTGTGGATCCTGGAGGACTTTGAAAGCAGCGGACGCAACATGCTCTCTCAGCACAGGGAACTAAAGAAACCCACGGTTCTACTCCATTCAATAGTTACTCAGGAAGGTTGTTAAGTGTTAGCCATGATAAGAGCTGTTCAGATTCTCTAGATCAGGGGTGTCAAACTCAAATACACAGTGGGCCAAAATATAAAAATGGGTACTAGTCTAGGGCCGGGCTGGTTCAATGTTTATTGCAAAACGTATTGAAATGAACTTATTGCACATATTAAACCAAGAACTAACAAAGCTTAAATTATTGCCTATAAAAACAACATTAAACATTAAATAATCAGTTGCATTCATTTCTTATGGCTCTATCTGCAGCTTTTCCGGAGTCATTTCTTATCATTACATTTTTCCAAAGGCCAACAACAGCTTCATAAAAACAATTTCCCTAAAAAAACAAACATGCCCTGTTGTCGCAAGAAAATAAGTGCAAAAGGAAACATCCATTTAAACTCAGTTTGCTGCTCTGTGATGCTAGTTCAAGCCAGATACTTGGCATCTCATCTTGGGTGCAAGTTCATCAATGTTTGGGCTCAGGCTCTGAGCTGAGGAAATCCTCAGGATTGAGTCAAGGTGTGCGTGCAATATACCGGCGGGCCAGATCTAATAGTAATTAGGAATTATCCTGCGGGCCAAAATTAAATCCACCAAGGATTTGGCCCACCGCCTGATTTGGCCCCCGGGCCTTGAGTTTGACACATGTTCTCTAGATGATAGGAAAAAGTCCTTTAGCTTAGGATACTGGACCATCCTTTACAAAAAAGAAGGAGAAAATGCTGCCCCACAATACCTTGCGGCTGCAACATTTACCGTGACACAACATTCGGCCGTTCACGGAGACAACCGATCATGACCGATGTAGAAGTTGTTGATACTTCTTAGAACATGCATGTGTGTATGTACAAGGAATACACAATGCATAGGCAAGTGATGGCTTTATTCATAACCACAGCATGTACAGTGAACATGTACATTGCATGCCGACTACCAACTGAATGCCTAATACCCTATTACCTTAACACGTTACCGGGTGGCGCACTAGCTACAGCGGCCTGCAAAGGACAAACTTTAATCATATGAGAATGATCTACAACCGAGAAATGCGTTTTATGGAAGTAACAATGCTTATTAAGCATTTTACAACTTATGCCGTTACTTACCAAAGTGCTTATATGTTTTGAACTTTCAACACTATATCGAATCAAACCTTTTTTAAGTCAGTATATCATTATGTTTACTAAGTTGTGTGGGGTTTCGCAAACTTTATTAAAAAAAATTGAACGGTGAAGCAACCAGTAAGTTTCACTTTCATTTTTGTATTTTGATTCTAACCTTGTTAATGAAGAATATATTGTTCACGGTTGTCCACGTTCATAAAGCCCGCGTAAAACAACACCATAAGAGCACGGGGCAAAGTAAAGATGTGCTTATTGTAGTCCACTGCAAGGAAAATGGTAGTTTCCCCACAGCGACTGTGCGTCACAGTCGCTGGGGCCTCATAATTAAATGTGATAGTATAAGTGCAGTCTGATACTCTAAGACCGCATTTGTTTAAGTCCTGATGGATTCTCCTCTCATCATTCCTTAAACCCATGGAGTTTTCAACAAGTGTAATTAATAGTGATTCGGAAAAGATGATAGGAGCTGATTGTTTTGACAACTCGACTGCAACCCTGATCTTCATAGTGCACCCAATCTTCTCACTCTGCTTTTCATTGGAATATGCATCAAAGGAAATGGATCAGTTAAAAAATGTGTGTTTAACAAACCGGGATTAGGGTGGTGGGAGAGTTTGATCAGACTACAGGGTATTTACCTTGTCTTTTAGGAGTCCTCGGGGTCCGATGACTCGATCAAAGATGTGTTGTCCCACGTGAGCATCAACTGCCGACAGGGGGTCGTCCAGCAGGTAAACATCTGACTTCCTGTAGACAGCCCGAGCCAGACTCACTCTCTGCTTCTGACCTCCAGACAAATTCAGACCCTGCAGCCAGTAAACATAATCAATACATAACCAATACACAGCCAAAAAAACACAACCAATACACATCCAGTACACGACAAATTCACAACTGGTGGGACTCGATATTATGGCAAATGAGACATTCTGATTGAAATTCTGATTTCACATGATTCATTGTGAAAAGTCAAAATCCACTTAACCTTGAAGTGCTCATCACACCGCCTGAGGACACCAATGTGGCCATTGCTCACTGTAACTGTCACCTTTGACGTCACCATGGCACACATAGGTGTGAACAATTATTTGAATACAGCAGCAGTCCTTTGTTCTCTCCTCTTAAATCTTCCCTTCCCCCCCTTACCTTTGGCTTAGCTTTGTGTTTTTCATTTGATTTCATTTTGATTTGTGTTTTTCATTTGATTATTTTCATGATTTATTTTAAATAAATACTTTGGAAAGAAAGAAAGAAGACATACTTTATGAATCCCTTACAGGGAAATGTCTTTCCCCACTCTGTTATGTTTGCACACGTAACACACACAGGGGAGGATATACATGCACAAACACAGAGGATATACATGCACACACACAACCACATGCAAATAGGAGAAGTGGCAGAGCAGAGAGGCTGCAAGGTACCCGGCGGCAAGGGAGCAGTTTTGAGGTTAGGTGCCTTGATCAAGGGGACCACGGCAGTGGCCTTAGAGGTGACCTGGCATCTCTCCAGCTACCAGCTCACTCCACATTTTTTTGTAATGGTCCGATTGGGACACAACCAATACACAATATGCAATGAAACAGTCAGCAAGAAACAATGTTGGCACCTTCTCCCCAATCTCGGTGCTGTCTCCGGCAGGTAAGATGTCCAGGTCTGGCAACAGAGCGCAGGCCTCCAGCACACGATGGTACCAACTCTCCTTTCTTTCTCCACCAAACAAAATGTTGTCCTTCAGGGAGGCGTTCTGGATCCAGGCCTGCTGGGGAACGTAGGCCACCGAACCCTGCACAGACAAAATAACCTTTATTAATTGAACTGCAACAGGCCACCTTAAAGTGGACCTATCATGCTATATTTAAATGATATATTGTAGGGCCATACCTATATAAGGTATATTTATACGTTTCTGTTTTCAAAATACCAAACAGATCATGCATTTTAGCCATGCCTCATTTCGCTCTATGTGCTGTTTGCTGTCTACGGGTCTGATTCTGCTGACCACGCCCCCCTGCAGGAGAGGGGAGCCGTGCTCTGATCAAGTCAAGAGGGGGAGAAAAAAAGATCTCTGTCCTCCGTGTTTTATTTATATATACAGTCTATGGTTTTATTATATTATTATAGGCCTATAGAGTCGTTATTCATTTGTTTTAAAGCTCAATAAATAACAAAGAAGACCTTTGACCGGCACTTTTCTAATTTTGTCCGGAAGATTTCAACTTTAACGGACATCTTGACCGGCGAAAGAAACTGAAACTCTGCCGCACGGTCCGCTCGTTCCTTGGAAGAGGCGGAGAGGTGGGTGTTTGTCATCTGCTGGTGGACTAACCGGAGAGAATTACAGTGCTTGCCTCGACGGGGAGGGATTGCATTGAATTAAAGCAGCGGGAGCAAACGCTTGCCTCGGGGAGGGAGAAAAAAAGCCACAGCGGAGAATAAACAGAAGGGTAACCATGGTAACTATGGGCGGGAAGTCTTCTTCGCTGCTTTTGTGGCAGACTACAGCGCCACTTACAGGCCTGGCATATGTACTACAGCGTCTCCAGCGCTTTCGAGCGGCAATGGCTGGCCGTGGCCCAACCCCACATTCCCCTGATAGGTGGAGAGTTGGCCCAATAGCCGTAGCGCCACTTCTGTGACGACATAGAAGTGTTCAAATCTGGATCAGTCTGTATCAGATCCGTTGCAGCCCCTTTTTTAGAGATTTGGGTATGGAGGAAAATAGAGAGGGTTGTGTTTTCTGATACTTGGTGAGTTCCCTGGAACACCGGGGACACATATTCATGTATAAAAGACGTACAAAAGTGCATTTTGCATGATAGGTCCCCTTTAAGGAAAAGGAAAAAGTTTGTTGTCACCTTGACGAAGACAAAAATAATCAGTGTTTGTTGTTACCTTGATGACAATAAAAACATTTTGTTTGTTGTCAGCTTGACAAAGACAAAATAATAAAAGTTTCTTTTTTGTCACCTTGACGGAAACAAAGCCACTCTTCTTCTCCATTTCTCCCAACATGGCTGACAGCAGAGAGGACTTCCCTGAGGCAACATGGCCAACCACGGCCACGAGGGAGCCCGTCTTCACCTTCATGTTGATCCTCTGCAGACACGGCAGACCAGCATTGGTCCAGGAAAACGACCCGCCTTCTATTATCACACCGTATCCACCTAAACATAGAACACGGTTTTATATGATTTAACACAAAATTCTAGATACAGACTCAGAAACCTAGAATTTCCCCTTCCTTGTTAGTGGGGCCCTGGGAGATCCATGCTCAGATCTTGCTGGGTGGTGAACATGGAGATCGCTTGTAGCACATTTCTCCTTTTCTTCCAGTGTTTGTGCTTAGTTGGGCTAGCAGCTTGCCTCGACTTTCAGCTAGGCAACAGTTTGCTTCTGCTTCCAGTGTTTGTGCAAATATTGGATTACAGTTTCAATCCTGAAAACACTGAGAGGTGTGGGTAATGTCTTACCTGTGCTGTAAGGAAGTTTCTCCACATTGTCATGATTCAGTTCTTCTTGGCACAGAAAGTGTCCCAGACGTCTGAGCGAGACAACAGCCTGATCACATAATCAAATAGATCATATTAAATCAGGGTATGTTAAGTTTTTACTTTTGTAGAGTTTTGTGATTCGCTGAGACTCACCTGCATCGCAGTGCTCATTGCAAAGGGAAGCTGACTCAGAGGAGTTTTCAGGATGTTAATGAGGGCTACAGAAACAAAGATTTTCTGAGCATCCAAAATGTTTCGCTCATCGATTAAAACGTAGACTGCAAACACTAATAAGGCGATCTGATCAGAGAAGACGAATAATACAAATACAAGTTTATTACATCAAATATGATTAGGTTTATAAGACGATTAGAAAATGTGATTTGGAAGGAGCCAGGGTAGAGACTCGCCAGGAAAGAGGAGGAGTTGAAAGAAGCTAGAGACACAGAGTAAAGGATCTGAGATTTCTCGAGGGCCTGGAGCTCTCCGTCTCTCAGGACGCCAACACGTCGCAGGAATGCTTTCTCCCAGGCGTAAAACTTCAGGATCTTCATACCACTCAGTATCTCGTTCATCAGTCTTATCCGACCGTCCATGAACTTCATCTGAACCTCCTGAGAAACAGCAGAATGTCGAGAAACATGTTTAGCTTTAACCACATAAGTCTCTGATGCAAAACAATGAAAGGTTTCACACCTGCAGTCTGCTTCTCATTTTAGCAATGAACCCATTCAAAGGAAAGACCAGAATAACGACAATAATACCCGCGAGAGCAGACAGACCGAGAAGCTGTCAATCAAAGAAAAAATAATCTGTTAATCAATAAATAAAGCACAGAGAAACTGTCAATCAAACAATGTGTTATGATGTCAGGTTACGTTTTTACCTGCCACAGGAAGTAAAAGCAGAGTGTGATCTCGATTGGAGTGATCCAGATGCTGTTGAAATAAACTACAAAGTCCATAAGCTTCTGAGTGTCAGCTGAAACCAGATTAATGATTTCTCCCATAGTGCACTGCTGCCGCGCCGGGCTGCTGATCAGCAGACACTGAGGATTCAAACAGGGAAAACTTTTTAGACGTCAAGTCTGTGTGTGTGTGTGTGTCTGTGTGTCTGTGTGTGTGTGTGTGTGTCTGTGTGTCTGTGTGTCTGTCTGTCTGTCTGTCTGTCTGTCCCACCGTCCGTTACCTTCCTGTAGACCAGCCCCATGACAGCGGTCTTCAGTCTCATGCCCAAAGTGAAGCAGTGGAACATGTAGTGATGATTCAGCAGAGACTGCAGACAGGACAGCAGGAAGAGCAGCGCGGCATACAGGAAGCCTTTCCACATGGCAGTGTCTCTGTCCCGCATGAAGCCCAGCAGCAGACTGAAAACAAACAATAAACAACAGCACACAAAAAGCGTAAACAATAACATACGACTACAATCAATACAATCTGCCAGTGAATCTGTCAAATACACACCAACACACAACCAATTACTACGAAATAACAACATAATAAACAACATCTATAATATAAACAACAACAAACTTAAATTAAAACTGCACGCAGTGATGAACGGGGCCTGGCCTCCTGCGCCAGTCCCCGTGTGTGCTAGTCGGTGTGTGCGCCAGTCGCCGTGGCGCTCTATGTCCCGCCCAAAGCAGGCGGCACTATAACTTAAGCATTAACAACGATGCCCGGATGGCCTCAGGCCTGGACTCTCATCAAGCATGTTAAGTATGGAGCGGATTAGACAATGTTTAGTTGATATGTAAATCATCAACAATTTTACATTCTCTGTAAGCTTTCGACCGTTTGACCTATCGACTATTCCTTTGCAACATTGCATCATATTGGATATGCATTTAACCCATCCGGAATTTTTCTGAACAACTCTCTAGGAGGAGTACATAAAAGTTTGCTAAAGCACAGGGGAAAAAAGAAAAAATGGCTGACTTCTTGAGGGGCGGGGCTAATGAAAGCCAATGAGAAATGTGTCTGCAATGATATGAGCAATGTGCGTGCAAAATGTAGTGCATATCGGGGAAACTATATGTGACTACCACACATTAGGGTGCGCTACTGAGCTATTTTTACAAAAATGTCAAACATTCGCAAGGGTTGTGACGTGTGTACGCAACACACTCTCACTCCCTGAACGTCCAGGAGCGACGCTTGGTCAGGGCCCTTTGGCGTGCAGTTGTGATGCGCCGAGTCTCCTTCAGCTTCATAAACGGACGCAAAGAGCTTTCAACTGATTGCAATGTATTCCCATCGGTGGCGGTATTTGACGCTCAGGGAAGCACCGCATCGGTCCATGTCGGTGGCAGTTAAAAGGCATTGTGAGCGTCCATTCCCATTGGATAACGCAGGATTTTACACCCGGAAGTAAGTATTCTCGCTTTTACAGCGATATCTTTTCATTTTTTTCATTTAATCGTTTATTTGAAGAGGGACAATGCACATTGATGAACATTTAAAATAAATAATGAAAACATGCCGGATTTTAGCTTTGAGCTCATTTCGATCCGTAGTCCCTCACATACGACATTTATATACATAGCAAAAATAAATACATGATATGCAGAAAGAGCATGAGCAGCATACAAGCATTAACCACATGGCAGTACAATGTAGCAGCTATGACATGTAAAGTGCAAGAGAGGATAAAAGAGCTACATAAAGTGCAAGAGGAGATGCCCCTGTATTAAAGTGCATTTAGCGGTGATTGCACGTTTGTTTGTTTCTCAACCATTCTTTTAGTTGACCTTTAAAACTGTTCAAAGTGGGACAATCCTGTATGTCAGTTGGGAGGCTATTCCACAAAGAGCTGCCCTGAATTGATAGAACATTTTGACCGAAAGTGGTCCGTCTGTGGTGGACTTCACAGTCTCCTCTGGTTTCTGACCTAGTGCAGCGTCCAGTGTGTTTTTTGTGGATGAATTCCCCTAAGGGGGGGGGGGGGGCAGTCCATGTAAACATTTATAAAAAAAACACATACTTTTAAAAGACTTAGAATTGTCAAAACTCAAGAAATTGTGTTTATCAAGGATGGTACAGTGGTGGTATGAATTAGGCTTTCTGTCAAACACCTTGATAGCTCTCTTGTACAGCTCTAGGTTTGTGGCACAAGCAAACGACCAGTTTGTCAAACAGTATTCAATGTGGGATAGAATCATACAGTGGAGGTATGACTTTGCAGCATTGACAGTTAAAGTGGACCTATCATGCTATATTTGAATAATATAGTGTAGGACCATACCTATATAAGGCATATTTATACTTTTTTTTCTTCAAAATACCAAACAGATCATGCATTTTAGCCATGCCTCATTTTGCTCAATTTGACATTTTTTTGCTCTGTTTTTGCAAGGGCAGATTCTGTGAGAACAGCACCATCTACAGGCCTGGCATATGTACTACAGCGTCTCCGGCGCTTTCGAACGGCAATGGCCGTGGCTGTCTCCTCCTGATTGGTGGAGTTGGCCCAATAGCCGTAGCGCCACTGTCCTGACGTCAGGACAGTGTTCAAATCTGGATCAGTTTTTATCAGATCCGTTGCAGCCCCTTTTTTAGAGATCACCGGGGACACATATTCATGTATAAAAGACGTACAAAAGTGCATTTTGCATGATAGGTCTCCTTTAAGAAAGGTCTAATTTGTTTAACATTTTGCAAGTTGAATTTAATGGTATTGGATACTTTCTTAAAGGGCCCATGTCATGGCCATTTCCACTGATCATAATTCCATTGTTGAGGTCTACTAGAATAGATTTATATTGTGCAATTTTCCGAACTCACATTGGTTTCTCATACAGCATCTCTGTAAACTACGTGTATTCACTGAATTTCACTCTCTGCCTTTAACGGCTCGTTGTAGCTCCAATAGCTCCAGCCCCCATCCTCCCTGTGAGCACAGTGTGCTCTGATTGGTCGGGACGTTGTGAATCGCGCTGAGCTCCGTGGAGGTGTTGTTTCCTTGTTAGCGATACACAGCCAAACTCATCCTGAGCACACACAAAGTCACAGCCGAAGTAAAAACAATAAGTGTGGCTTGATATTGAGTAAGAAAAAGGTTGATAAACGCTGTGAGAATGGGTCTGCAGAGAGAATTTCGCCGCGATCCCAACTGTCTGTTATCAGCCTGCAGCCAGGGAGGAGAAATCAGCTGAGCTGCCTGCTCCCTGCACACAGATGTGTGTGTGAGTAACGGCTCCGCGGACGTAACGTAACGGCTCCACGGATTGGTCCATTTCGTTCCGGGTACCGCATGACATCATGGCGTACCCGGAACTAAATGGAAGACTCAAATGGGCAGTGACGTATCTCCAACGAGGCGTTTTGGGGAGATATTTTCTGTGTTAGAGTTTTACTCGCTACAGGGTGTACTTTGAGGGTTTTGACTCTGCACACCGTTTACATGCATAAAAACCTTCATAACACACAACGGGACGGGTAATAACCGGAAAAGCATGACATGGGAGCTTTAAGTACTTTGTCAGGCTTAATATTGATCAGATACCCCCAAAGCTTTTTGCTTACATGTATTCAAAAGAAGACCTTAACCTAAAGTATTATTTAATGTTTTAATAAAGCCTAATTAGTTTGTCTGTTTTGCACATCATCCTATTAATATCTTTGTACATCCGGCACTAAATTGTTTTATTGTAGAGATCACTTACAGTATCTTCTTGATATTTTCTATTCTATATTTTGATCATTGACCTTCTACTTTCCTCCTATTTTGTATGTACTCAGTACTCTTAATATTTAAATGTATTCATCAAATATAACACATTCAACAAAACATGCAGCAGACCTTAGGCAAGGCAAGGCAAGTTTATTTATATAGCACCTTTCAACACAAGGCAATTCAAAGTGCTATACAAAAATGAAAGACATTAAAGGCCCCATGTCATGGCCATTTCTACTGATCATAATTCCATTGTTGAGGTATACTAAAATAGACCTCGGGGGGGAGGTCTCCCATCTCCTGCTGGCACATCTTCGCCCTCGCCTTGCGACAAGTGATGCAGACCTCGACAATCCGCTTGGCCACCCACCGGCCCTGCACCACCCACGCCTTTGATCTCATCCTCAGAAGAGTACCAGCGAGTCCTTCATGATTTATTTCATGAGCCTCTCGGGCTAGCAGAGTCCCTAACCACGCTCTGTAGGGGACTAATGCCACCCCCGACACTCTTCCGTCCAGGGTCTGGACTCTTCCGCGGCACAGCAGAAGCCCCGATACTTCATCCGTACTGACCACAAGCCTGTCCAGCGTTGTCCCGGGGAAGACCTCACCTTCCTGGGCTGCCAAGAATAAATCCTGGAGTGCAGTCTTTAACTCTCCCACTGTCAGCACAGGTTTGCCTTTTCTCTTGTCCAGGACTCTTGCCTCCCACTTTGCTTGACCCACCGCTCGGCCTCTTCTAGTCAGCCATTTCTCTGCTGCTAGCCGGACCCATGCGACCACTCCACATAGCCAAGCCAGACTGCTGAACCTCTCTGGTTTCACCAGGTTCACAACAGCAATGCTCCGAAACTTTCCTTCCGGTCTTCTCTCTGTCAAGACTGAAGCTTCTTCCCTTTCGGAGGTTTCTGGGGATCCGCCAACCTTAACTAGGGACTCCTCAGCCTCTGTGTCCTTTCCACTGGTATCGTCAGGGATAGGGGTTTTGTTTGACTGGGCTCTAGTGAGTATTGCCGACACTCTCTCTGGCACCAGTTGCCACCTCCGCGACCGACTTCATGGGCCATTCTTCTAGCGGCCTCACCAGGAACTCTGGTCCCCTCTGCCACTCTGAGTCCTCTCCCAGGTCTTCAGGAGTTGCTCCTCTTGTTACGATGTCAGCGATGTTAAGTGGCCCTGGGATCCACCACCAGTCAGTTACTGGTCCGGCCTTCTGGATCTCGCCGACCCTGTTTGCGAAGAAAGTCTGATACCCGTAGCTCTCTCGCTGGATGGCTCCCAGGACCGTTTGACTGTCAACAAAGTGGAACCAGCGCTCCAACTCCAACCGTCCGTGCTTCTACAAATACCCTTTTAAACGAGCTGCAAAGACCGCACCGCACATCTCAGCTTTGACTATGTCTCCCTTTTGGTCGAGAGGTGTTAGCTTGGCCTTTGACTCCACCAACCTGACCTCGACCCCTTGCTTTGACTCCCATCTCAGGTACATCACGGCACCGTATGCGTCATCACTCCCGTCTGAAAACGTGACCCCCCACGGTTTGCCTTTCCACCCAGATGGCGTGAGACTCCTGTGGAATTTGACCTTACTCAGCCTCACATACTCCTCAAACAGCTTGATAGCATCTTCTCGGAGGTTCCCTGAGAGTGGGCTGTCCCAAGTCTCCTTTGTCAATCATCCTCTCTCTG